TCTCCTGAAGAAATGAAGAGCACTTCTGGTTATATATTTTATGTTGGATCAAGTATCATTTGTTGGAACTCAATGAAGCAGAAAATGATGGCTCAATCAATAGCAGAAGCTGAATACATTGCAGCATCAGAAGCTACTAATCAAGTAATTTGGTTGAGGAAGGTGTTGGAAGATCTAAAACACAAGCAGAATGAGGCAACAGTTATCTATTGTGATAATCAATCTACTGTTGCAATGGTAAAGAATCCAGTGTTCGATGGTAGAACCAAACACATCAAAATCAAATATCATTCAATTAGAGAAGCTCATGAAGGAAAGTAAGTGGACCTTGTGCATTGCAAATATGAGGATCAATATGCAGACATTCTAACCAAGTCATTAGCTAAAGAAAGGTTTGAAACACTAAGAAGCTGCCTTGGTGTTTCGAGCAAAAGTGCCAAGGAGAAGTGTTGAGATTCGATTGACACTTTTGCTGTTGAAGTGTGATATTTTTGTACCTATAATTAGTTGAATTAAGGACAATGGTTGGTAGTGTAATTTTTTTTTTTTTTTTGAAATATTTCATAGGTATGGCCTTTGTATAATCATTAGAAAAGCTGTCAACAAGTCAACTTGTAGTAGGTATGGAGTTGTTGACTATCATTGGTGCTAAAAACTTCTTGTAATGAAAATATATTTGGTAATGTAATGTACTAGCCGTGAAGTTTTTGATGTTTTAAAAAAAAGTAGTTCAACTTTCGTTATCTTTGAATCAATAATCCTTCAAATATAAAATAACAGTTATTATCAAGCAGAATTGGTTTATAGATAAAAGATTAACGACGCATCCAGACAATGGAGTATATTAGTAAGCTGAAAATCAAATTTTCCTTGTAGAAAGCAAAGTATTTCCAGTGTGTTTGATATTCAAACATGTACCATTACCGACAGTGACAATGTCACCACCCTCAAAAGGTTGTTGATGGTTGAGATTTGAGGCATTAACAGTAATGCGAGTGTTTGCCATGATGTCAGCATACCAGGCCTGATGATCAAAAGCTGCATTTGCTTCGAATGCAATGGCTGCTAAGTTCGCTAAAGGGTGTCGACCTTGATATGAGAAGTCAAATTGTGGGAGCAGTCCAAGGCAATGTGCCTTGCCCATCCATACATTTGACATACAGGTCGAGTATTGGAAGAACCAACAAGCTATAAGGTTAAGTAGAGGTATGTGTCCCTTTGTCCTGGGCAGGAGTCACGTAAAATGTGGGATTTATACCTTGCAGTTTGGACTTTTTTGAGAAAAGTCGGCAGTTTGGCCTTTGAGGCAACAAATGCTATATAAGTACTCATAGGTGGAGCATGTTGAACAACTAGTAAGGTGTCAAAGCTCATTCATTCAGCTTGAAAGTCATCGAAGAAGAGTTCCTTATCACGAGATGCAAAGTTGAATGAGGTTATAAATGTTGTGAAGCTTGATTTTAAACCTCCAATAATATAGCTGATCAGTCCTAATCATCCACTGGTCTGCACCTTCCAATTGATCAGCCAAGCTCTTTGCTTCTTCAAGGTAAGCGATGTAGCCTTGAGTGAGGGTTTGAAGTTTCCTTTTGAGTAAGGCAATGTGAGACCTGGTTGTTGAAGAGAACCTAGTCTGCAGATAATCCCAGACCTACTTATAAGTCTTTATACTATAAAGCTTAGCAACGATCTTCTTTGAGATTGATGCAAGCAGCCAACTGAGGACGCAATTGTCCTTTCTGTAACATACTGCAGATGTTGGATTGGAAATATCATATAGGAGTCTTTTCACAGGAACCTCCACAATTCCATCCATGAAACCAATAAGGCCATGACTTCTTAGAAAAAATAGTAATTTGGATGCTCCAAAGCATGAAGTTTGGGCAATAAAGTTTGTAACGATCTGATATCTATGCCGAAACCATTATATTATACGTACTATCTACTTGAGGTGGATTTCTGCCCACTTACCCCTCATGGTTTTCCTATCGCGTCCCCCATGATTCAAACTTAAGACCTCCTAATGAGAGACTTAAGTTAAATTAACAAGATTATAGAGTCCTAAGGAGAGAAACAAGAAGATCTAGTAACTAGAAAAAACATTGTCCTCTATATTTGAACTGATACATTTGAATTTAAATGAGTTTATTGTGGAAAGAATTTCAAAAATCTACAAAAAATAAAAACTAACTAGTAGTTGCAGATTTCACTCTAACAAATGTTTACATATTTCACTCTAACAGCTAGATGAAGGGAATATTAGTATTCCGCATGCAACAGATTCCAAATAAAACAGACAAATCCCTTCCTTATATTTTAGTTTGTTAATTTAGACCAGAAACAGAAGTAAAGGGAAACATCAATTGATTTGAATTCACATTTAGCAGATGTAACGTGATGTGCCTCATGATTGATCTTTAAAGCTGTTGATATGGGGCTGATGCTTTCATATTTGAGTTCGACATTAACAACAGAGGCCATCGACATTCCCTTACCCAGAGAAGAATTTCAAGGAAAAAAATTTTGAAATATATAATTGTCATTTGAAAAGCTCAGCTACTAGGCAAAACACAACTTTTGAAGTCTCTCAAGGTGTAATAATATAGATCACTCACTTGTGTTGTTCCAAACTTTCACACATTGCTCATGCTAATGGTGCTGTTTATTATACGAAGTTAAATTTGTTTGGAGAAAAGGGCAATGCGCCTATTCATCAAGATCACACACAAAATAAGTGAAATCTTTCCTCCCCACTTCAAACATATAATAACAGCAGCTGCTTTCCCTTGCCACTGAGTTAAATAGTGTGATAACTGTATTTTATACACTTATTTGGGCTTCTATACATTTATTGCTAATTGAGAGGATATTTGTTTCATTTAGGTTAAATTATGATAATTGTAGGTTAAATCCCAACTTTAATGCATTTTGATGCAATTGAGTGACGTTTTTGGAGCGTAATTGTAGTTGATTTGGAGCAATTGATGATCAACTGAATTTCATATAAGCTAAAAATTTCCTCATTTTATATGTAATTTGTTTGACATGGGATTGGTCTTTACCCCCCCCCCCCCCCTGTTTGTCTCGTTTAAAATTCTGATCAATTAAAAGCATTAATAGGGCAATTGGAAGAGATTCCCTAGTTTTGGGAGCTATATCCAACAATTGAAAAGTTTAGGGACTTAATTATAAACTTCTGAAACTTGCACAGGGTCAATCACGGATGACTAAGGAATGATGAGGATTAAATTGTGAAGATTCAAATATGAAGGACTAAATATAAAATTAAGGGACTCGAGCTAAAATAAGAGGAAATTCTAGGACCAAAGTGAGCAAGAAAAGGATGGAACCTTGCGATTGGTTCCCACCATACTGTGAGATTGCACATGCATTTCGAGCATAGAAAATTGATTTTCTTATTTAATTCAACCTCTTCTTAGAAAACAATTTGAACACAAATTTTGTCCTAATTCTTGTTCTATAAATATAACATATCTTTCATCTACAATTCAAGGGAGAATCTTAGGGACTCTTGTACATAAAAAATATGTATTCCACAAATTGAAATAAGAGTCATCGATAGAAAATTCATATTCTTTGGAAAGCTCTGAAGTGGGGAAGCTTGGGAAGCTCTTGCACATAAAAAATACATTATTCCGTGTAAAGAGGAGCGATATGATATCAACAAATACATATTCATTCAAGTTTTGGAGAAGCTTTTGACACAGAGCACCTCTTCCGCATCTTTTCATACATTATTGCCTTTTTTTTAAGAAGACATCTGGGAGATCATTCACAAGAACCACAGAAGGAATTCAAGATTTAAGATTGTTTCTATCTTTCTTCCCAACCTTCAATTCAGGGTGATGTGTATCAGTTCCAATTATGTTTTTATATTGTGATTATTGTCTAGTTTTGTAGATGCTACGATAACGATAAACCCAATGTTTTTATGCCTTTATGTTAAATTTCAAAATTTGACACTTTAAATGTTTGTATTGGTTTGAATGATTGTTAGGAATTTAAATCTTTTCAATTAATTGATTAGATTTATGATCTCTATTTTTACTCAAGAGATGGGATAGAAATTTAGCACAAGTAATAATCATTGTAATGTTAAGGATAATTGTTTATACTTTGTATGATAAAATTAAATGTTCTTTTAATTTAATACATCTTTAAATGTTCTGGTCATATATAAGGATAAATCTAATTTTATTCGGGAGAGATTATTTATTTAATTAGGAACATCTATCTTCAAGTCTATATGAATGTTGTCAAAGTCTAAGATTAATATAAATATGGAAGAACATAAGGGGATTTGGGGTCAATAGTGTTTTGCCATTAATCAAGTATTCATTAACGCTTCCCACCATTTAGTTTATTAGTTAGGTTAGTTAGTTGCTTGTTAATATAAAATCATCAAATCTTAAACGTGTGATATACGGATAGATACTTAATCCTCGTAAGATCGATACTTGAATTCACATATACTACATTATTTATTTATGATACCATCCACTGTCGCAAATAAGTATAAAAGAGTCTAATGAATTTCTAGTGATATGGTTGAAGTAATGCTAGAATTATAAACGGTTCCAATTGTTGATGAAAAACGGGAATTAAACATGGCAAGTTGACCAGCGTGAAATGTGTCCAAATCAGCCAAATCGTACCAGCAAAATGCAATTGTCCCTTCATTTCATTGCATACGTCTTTATAAAATGAAGTTGTATTATCTTAAATTGATTTTAAATCGTAACTTGCCAAGTGAGATTTATGTTTCCCAAGTGAGATTCCATAAACAATTGGGACCGTTTTCCATATACATATTGAGAAAAAAATGGATAATGATTTATTTAATTATACATTTTATTTAATGATATTTAGTATCTAAATTGGTATGGTAATAACATTATTTTATGGAGAATTGTTGCGTGGCACAGCATAGACTGTATATATAATATAAGTAAAGAGGAGGAAAGAGATAAGGAAGCAAAATGGGCACAGTTAAAGCGGTGGCTATTATCTCCGGCAATAACAATGTCAAAGGCACCCTCCAATTTCTTCAACAACGCCCAACTGGTCAGTAATTCAATTTCGCTTTCTGTTTAGGATCATTTCAATTCAAAATAACCACTGTTACTTGTTAATTTCTTGTTACCAGATATAACACACACACACACACACACACACACACACATAATTATTAGCTAGATATGACAGAAGCCAGTACCATAATCAAATGAATAATTGTAATTTGTATCGTGGTGTACAGGAGCCACCCATGTCAAAGGAAGAATTAGTGGACTCGGTCCTGGCCTCCATGGTTTCCATATTCACGCTCTTGGCGACACCACCAATGGTTGCAATTCAACTGGTAACTACTCACTATTCATACCCTCCATTTTCTATAATTTAACACTCCTGGGAATACACAATAAACAATCAAGCTCACTGAACATGGGGTGTGCCTATTGTGTGCCAAATGAATCGAAATATTCATGTTTGGTTTGGGAAGAGATTATGGAAGTTTTGGAATGATTAAAATTCGGGAAAGAGAAACGATCGTATGTGAAATACTTCAGGATGCAGAGCATCCTGTTTCATTTTTCATTTGTTTGAGGAATTTTTTATACAGATATTCAATTAATTTGGGGATTTGGGAGAATATAATGAAATAAAGCCCCTTTGAGGTCCCTCTAAAATTGAGAAAAAAATCAAACTTGGAAAGCATTTTTCTGATTCTCAAAGAATTAGGGGCAAATGGTGCTTGTAGTGGGTTCCACGGCCTCATCATGGGTGATATAGCATCTCCTTATGTCACTAACAATAGGAATTTGAGATTTCTTTTGCGTCTTGTTTCTATTTTCAGAAGAATCTTATTAACATAGTTCAACTGACCTTCCCCTAAAAGATAGTTAACACGTTTTTTTTTTTTACTTCCATTAGTGGTTTTCAGGGATTAGCTTTTCATAGGAGTGATTAAGATCTGAATGTCTAATACTGTAGATACTTGCAATTTTTAGGACCCCACTATAATCCCTTGAAGAGGGATCATGGAGCTCCAATTGATGAAGAACGTCATGCCGGTGATCTGGGAAATATAGTTGCTGGTCCAGATGGTTTGTTAAGTATTCAATGCTATATTTTAAGAATTGAATGGATAGAATAATTATCAGGTAGTTTTTTTAGTTCAAGTTTTCATTGTAGGGATTGCTGAGATTTCAATTACAGACAAGCAGGTATGTCAGAGTGAATACTTTTATTGTCATTTCAAAATTTAGCATTTTAATAAATAAATTAGTTTTCAAAATATAATGATCATAATTTTTATTGAAAGAACCTTATTCAAAAAAGATAGGACTTTGAATAAAAGCACGGTAATTTCATGGCATAAATATTGGCTCCTTGCATGTTTGTTGGGTTATGCAGTTGTATAGAATAGCCAGGTGTGCGAAGCATCATTTTGGGCGTTGGCCCGGCTAGTATTGATTTTGTATGGTTATGATTAGAGTGTTTCAGGTTATGAAGTTGAAAGTAGTGACTTATCCCCAAGCCCAGTTTGTTAGCTGACCCCTCCATTAGAGTTACTCCCTTGAGGAGGCAAACTGTGCTCTAGACCTTGATAACACTGCTGTGCAATGTATTTCGAATGGTTCTTCCTGGGGAATGAATATGAGATGATAGATATTCTAGATAGTAGATACTGTTAAATGATGCACAAGAACCTCCTAGTGTTCATGGTTTATATTATTTTACATTTGATTCTGCCATTACTTCAACCGTGTGTTATTTATAGATTCCACTGACTGGTCAACATTCGATTTTGGGAAGAGCTGTTGTTGTGCATGCTGATCCCGATGACCTAGGAAGAGGTATCTTTCTAGAAATGCTTAGTGTATCAATGATGATGTTCTTTCTTTTGGTCTCTCTGTAGACCTGCACATGAACCGTGAGAGTAATCCTGTGTAAGATTACAAGATGCAGGAAAATTATGGTTTTTACTCTGTTCCGTGCAGTCTATTGCATTTGTCCAGTTCTATACTTTGCCATTTGTTGGTTATCAAGTGTCAACTGATTGATTGGGATGTGCAATAGGTGGACATGAACTTAGCAAGACCACAGGGAATGCGGGTGCCAGAGTTGGATGTGGTAATTCTTTTTACTTATGTACTAATTTATTTCTCCTTGCATTTGGTTTAGGGGGACATGAGTGATTAATATGAATGAATGATTGAAAGGACTAGTTCTTTCAAGATTCAGCGATGAGATTTACTACATCAATGTAGCCTATAGATTACTACTAGAGCAATTTGTTAAGTTCCATCATGGCACCTACTGGATAGATTGTAATTGAGAAAGAACGGTGAAGATCAGGAAGAAAAGGAAAATGCGGGTGGGTAGGAAGAGTGGGAAGGAAGAAGTTCCATCATTTTTTTTAGCACATTACCAGTTATCATTTACTATTCTTTCTTGTGTTCCCACAAACGATGGATCTTACATAGTATGTCGTGTTCAAGTGTATTGGGATTTCTTTAACTGCATTGGCTTAAGTAATATATCTTCAGTGCTTACATTATTGATTGGCACTTTTGGCAGGTATCATTGGACTTCAATCATCGGTTTAGCAGTTGTAATTTCAAGATTGTAGTTCGATCAAAATAGGCTAAGCTTTTAAGGTGGTTGTAATCTTAAGCCGAACTTGCTATAGTCTTATCACATGTTGGGATATCTGAGTATCACTCTCTCTGGACGTGTACAGTGTGTCTGAATCTGATGATATAATAACATTGGATTTCCTTTGTCTAGGCAGCCATTTATTTTTTGGGCGCATAAGAAATTTTTGTTTTACCAGTCTAGTTTTGTAATTGAGTCTCAAACGTCGCAAAGCCTCAGGTATATTTACACAACCAAGAGTGGCCATAAAAGGGAAAAACTCTCTAGGAGTCATGTTCCGAGCTAATATGCCACAAAGGTCAAGTACTGAGGTCACGTTGAAGTATGGAGCAACCAGAATTTGATTTCTGTATTATCAAAATTGTTAAAATCACGATCTGGAATGACCAAAACAAAGTGAAAAGTAGAGACAGCAAGATTTGACGAGGAAAATCACAACAGTGATGGTGAAGCCATGCTGGCAACCAAAACCATTTCCCAGTGTAGAAACTTAACAATTTCACTGCTACGCGTGAATCAAGAGGTTCTAAAACATGTATAACATCCCCGTCTATAGATATAGGATTAAATGTTTTGTCATTATGACCATCTATGCACATTGGCTATAGCACAACGGGAGGCTGTTGATGATTTTCTATCCTCTCAGCCAAGTGTTTCTATATGAAGAGTTGTCACGAAGGGAAGCATCATGGGGTTTGTATTCCATTACATAGCTATGGGGAAGCTTGAGATGTCGCTTGATAGCATCCCTCAGTGCCATTACCGCCTAGTAAAAATAAACCAAAGTCAGCTTAGTCGAGGAGAAACAAACGAGCCAGGATGACAAACTAAAAACTACTGACCTGATGGTCAGATGCATTGCGGTTCCACACGCTCAATATGTCCTCGTGAAAACGGATGCTTAATACTGCACCACAAATGTTATCGCCATAATCAAGTTGGTCTCCCACTAGAGCTAGAACCTGCATGTAGTTTCTCACAGCCAATTTTATCCATGAAAAAATTTTAGAATTCCATAACATAGCAACAATAGGAAGAATTCCAAAAATATCTTATTGATAGTATGTGCTAATATTTTGCCTACACAATACATGATTTCACCACGAATGTTTCAGTGCAATGAGTATGTATGTAATTATGATAATAGACTGAGAAAAATGGAAGAGGAGTATCCATGTGTACACAATCCCAGATAAATATGTAATTGGCTACTTTAAGTTGATTCGTATTTTTCTTTCGAGGAATAGGGAGACTGTATATAATCCGTACACAGTCCAACGAAAAATAGAAGATGTCAATGCAATTATAGTAGAGAATGCTGTCTAAACATTAAAGAATACACAGAAGAATCTTTAAGACGGCAGCGAATATCTATTACATCCCCTTCCAAACACACACACACACACAGAGAGAAAGAGAAACTTCATTGACTAGTAAAATTGATAAGAGAAGGAAGGTTCAAAGAAGTTGCACAGATAATAGAAGAATTCTGGTTTCCCACAAAGTCCAACGAAAAATAGAAGATGTCAATGCAATTATAGTAGAGAATGCTGTCTAAACATTAAAGAATACACAGAAGAATCTTTAAGACGGCAGCGAATATCTATTACATCCCCTTCCAAACACACACACACACACACACACACACACACACAGAGAAAGAGAAACTTCATTGACTAGTAAAATTGATAAGAGAAGGAAGGTTCAAAGAAGTTGCACAGATAATAGAAGAATTCTGGTTTCCCACAAACAGTTATCAAAGTTGCATGTAGCAATTAACATTCAGGGACATGGAGGCTAACGACACAAAAATAGAAAGTAGAGAGACAACTGGAAAGACGTGAAATCAACTCATGAACAGAAAGAAGATAATATAACAGAGCCAGATGACATTAAATCACATTGTTGGGCAATTTTCTCTCATACCAGGTCTTCCCAAAAGCGGCCTGAGACAGACTTTTTAAATCTAATAATCCATTTTCCACCATTGCAGTTAGCAGAATCCTGATAAAAGGAAAATAACTCAAAAATGTATTTCATCTTTAAAAGACTTTGCTAAAGTAAACAAAGACAGTAGAAAACAATTCATTGACTCAAGCTGCAAAATCATACCTCCCACAGTGGACGAATACCCTCCTTGAAAAGATGTAAATCAGTTGGACTTGGCATTGCGGAGGGCCGAGCCAAGTGGCAGTAACAGACCCAGAAACTTTCAACCTACGAGCAATCAACTTTAAACTGTAAAGATTAAAGCATTAATCCCGTATGTAGAGCTCAAAGTAAGGTGAAAGGCTAAAAGCTGCGAAATTATTCTCTTTTAACACATTTGAATTGAAGAGAGATAAAACTTACCGTGCTAAATTCTATGATCTTCTTTATATTGTCCTCATATGATGTTTGAGTTTTAACTCCTGGTGTTCGGCGAGTGTACCAAAATACAAATTTGTGCTGACAATCACATCGAAGCAAGATGAGTTTCGTCATCATCATTACAATACGATATGACATCATAGCAACATTAGTAACCACATTGACAAAAGGCATCTTTCCAAAAATTAAAAAAACCATCCACAAAATATCCTTCTACCAATGTAATCAAACATAGGAACGGCCTTTACAATGGGATTTCTTGAAATACAAGCAAAAAGCTAAACAAAACCTCCAGGAATAAAAGAATAAAGAGCCATCCAGAAGCCTTAATATAAGCATTCATAAAATTCTAGATGATATTTTTATCTGTATTCATGCAATTTTGGGAAGAAAAGAAGGAACTGAGATTTGATGATAACCGTTTTCGTTTATTATTTTTCAAAATTATTGACAGCCAATATTCACACCATATGTCATCCTAAAACATCCAGAAACTATTATAGCATTCTGACGTTTGCACAATAAATTAGTGGACTTGAAATTACAATAAGGCCTCGAAGAAAACGTAGAAAACCCTTATTACCATGCTATAGTTTCGACTGTCACATTTAGAGGTAAGGATAAGTGCAATAGATGGAGCAAAAGATGATGATAATGCTGTTGAAAAAAACTAGGGGACTTTTCCTTAATTTTCCGTTCTTGTCCCAAAGTCACTCCAGGCAGTTTGAGCAAGCTAGCTGAACTAAGATTTAGCCCCTAAAAGTATCTGGAACAGAGTGTTGGGCATCTGATAGGATCCCCCGTCTCTGCTGCCCCACTGAAGGATATTCTTGCTGGAATTCTATAACTGAAGTGCTGCGAACTATGCTTATGAACAATGGAAGATATTTGTATTGGAATACAGCTGTGAATTATGAATGTAAGAAGAACACGGATTGGTACTGATTATTGTATTGAAATGAAACTGGAATTGAAATAAACAGAACAATTCCATGGCATTCGAGAGGCCTGGATTCTCTCCTACTTGGCTCAGCCAACTACTCAATGTTTTGCATACCCAACACATCCTACCTCCTCTCTATTTATAATTATTTTATAACCAAACATAACAGAATTTGTTACTATTAACTACTTTTCAATTCTTCTAAATCCTTCTAGAATGCTCGAGGTGAATAGGGGTCTATTCAATACCAATTCTCAGTTGTTATTTTCATATAATTGGGTTCCTATCACAATCCTTCTAGAATGGATGAGGTGGGTGGGAGCCTATCAGCATCAACTCTCCATCTTATTCTAGAGTTTGTAAAATATGTCATTAACAGGGATTATATTATTCTAAGAGGAAGAAATGCTACAGAGATGAAGAGATTGAAAGGGATTCTAGGCTTCTAGCTAAAGAGATCAAAGATCTTGGTCATTTGATGTATTTTTTGAGGATGGAGATTGCAAGATCCAAGCTGGATTTTTTATTTCCCACTAGATTTTCTAAAGAGACTTGTATGCTAGGATGCAAATTAAATTATCTTTCCATTAAACCAAACTACAAATATGGAGGAACTACAAGAGGAACCAAAAGTAGAGAGACGTGTAGCAGCAGCTGGCTGGTAAATTGATTTATTAATCTGTGTAATAATGCAGTCCTATTTTAATATTATTTTAATTTCTAGACCAATAATAAGCCCTTGTTTTTGTAGAAATTCAGAAATATCTATGTAATTAAGGCACACAGTTCTAGGGATTTAGCTAATTATTATTTTCTTCAATAAAGGATTCGGGTAGTCAGTTACCCAAATTCCTAGTTTTCTTAAATTAGTTATTTTCCTTACTTAGAGGAATTAGTTTAGAAAGATTTTATCATATCCCATAATTTGAGGCTGAGATTATGGTCTCCCTGCCATTTATTTTGTATGATTTCTCCATTATTGAATAAGAGGAAAATTATCAATTTCTTTATAGTATCAGAGCTATTCCGAATCCCTCTCTTACGACAAAATACGGGATGACTACTTAAAAGGCAAGGCTCCACGCTATGACGCACCGACACGGACATGTGTGTCCAACACGATACGTGTCGGATACGCCGACACGAGATTTTTAAAAAAAATACAGACACGACACATTATCGACACATTGATTAAATTCTTAAAAAAATTTTATTTATATAATATAAATTTAGTTTTATACTTGTTATTAATTTTTTTGTTGAAATCTTTTAAACATGAGTACTATTTGTTACTTGCTAATGATTTTGAATTAACAATATATAATATTTCTAATATAAAAAGTAAAATGATTACGGTAGAGTGTTCGAAAAGTATCGGTATCGACTCGTGTCCGACACGGGCACGCTACTCTAATTGAAGTGTCTGTGCTACAGAGGTCAAATGTATCTTTCAATTTCTTTCTGCAATTAGCAAATATGTGCTTCTGAGTTAAAGCCATTTTTTAGTTGATTACTGTACATTCCTTTGTANAGAACTGTCGGTATCGACTCGTGTTCGACACATTACCATAATTGAAGTGTCCGTGCTACAAAGGCTCCACGTCAGACATTACTTCTTAAACTGTCATCAGAAGCTCTAATGGAGGATCTGAGAGCAGCCCTCTTCCCATCACCGACCACAAATTGAAAGGTCACAACTATCTCCAATGGTCCCAATCTGTGATGATGTTCATCTGTGGGAAAAGAAAAGATGATTATCTCACTGGAATAGTGACTACTCCGAAGAAAGAAGATCCAGCATTCAAAATCTGGAAATCTGAAAATAACATGGTAATGTCCTGGCTAAACTCTATGACGAATGAAATTGGGGAAAATTTTCTTCTCTATGGTACAGCGAAAGAGATTTGGGATGCAACCAAAGAAACATATTCCGGTTCTAAAAATACATCAGAACTATTTTCTTTTGAAATTACCCTTCATGATCTACAACAGGGAGATTCTTCCGTCACCCAGTACTTCAATTCCCTCAAACGTCTCTGGCAACAACTTGACCTATTTAAGTGTAAGAGTGGAAATGCCCTGGAGATGAAGCTTTGCACAAGAACATCATCGAAAAGAAACGTGTGTTTAAATTCCTGATGGGGTTAAACAAGGATCTTGAGGGAGTACGTGGAAGAATTTTAGGAACATAGTCACTGCCCAACATTCGAGAAGCTTTTTCAAAGGTTCTCTAGGAGGAAAGTCGTTGAAAAGTGATGATGGAATCACCAATTTCTTCATCAACCAACAACCAAAAAACACTGACAACAGACGAAGGGACGACCCTGGTGTGATCACTGTCGCAAACCTGGTCATACCAAGGAAGCCAGTTGATTGGAACCCTGTTCGGGTTTCAAATGACAAAGAGAGCCTTGGATATCTTACCTCTGCCAACGACAATTCCACTCCTACAAAACCAAACATGTTCAACAAAGAACAAATGGAACTACTCCAGAAAATGCTCACTCAATTACAAAATAATTCGACACCTAATTCCAGCGTGATTGGTACAGGTTCTTTGGCTTAAACAGGTAATCTTATCAATGCCCTAAATGTGAAACAAGTAAAACAAGAGCCATGGATAGTGGATTTCGGTGCCTCGGATCATATGACGGTGATATCTCTATTTTTAGAAATTATAAACCATGCAATGAAGAACTTACTGTTAGAATTGCAGATGGTTTATTATCTAAAAGTCGTTGGAATTGGGTCTGTTCGTATCTCAAACCAATTGACACTCAATTCAGTTTTATTTGTGCCAAAACTTGACTGCGACTTGTTGTCTATTTATAAATTCACCCAAGAGCAGAATTGCAGTGCTAAATTTCATTCTAAACTGTGTGAATTTCAGGATTTGGATTTTGGATTCGGGGAAGACGATTGGCAGTGCTGAGGTATGTTCGGGGCTTTATCTCCTCGAAGTCAATAATGCTTCAGAAAGACAAGCACTGAAGGCCATGTCCACTAGTCAATTTCAAAGTAACATTGTGTCATGTTCTGTTTCCAATAAAGATAGTGAAATCATGTTATATCACTATCGATTAGGTCATCCAAATTTTTTGTACCTTAAGAAACTCTTTCCTTGGTTATTCAAGCATAAAAGTTCAAATAAATTTTCATGCGAAGTTTATCAATTCTCAAAACGTGAGAAATTCTTATCCAAGTCTTTCTTATAAAAAGTCACATCCTTTTTCATTGATCCACTCTAATATTTGGGGACCATCCAAAATTAAAAATATAACTGGAACTCGATGGTTTATATCCTTCATAGATGATCACACTGGTGTCACATGGATATTCCCTATGAAAGAGAAATCTGAGGTTGGTCAAATATTTAAAAATTTCAACTCTATGATACAAACTCAAATACAAACAAAAATACAAGTGTTGAAAACTGATAATGCACATGAATATTTTGCCTCAGTTCTAGGTGATTATCTATTAAGTCGGGGAATAGTACATCAAAGTTCTTGTATTAACACACCACAACAAAACGGGGTAGCTGAAAGAAAAAATAGGCATCTTCTTGAGGTTGCGATGTCACTTATGTTTACCACTCAAGTTCCTAAACAATTTTGGGGAGAAGCAGTTCTATCAACAGCATTTCTCATAAATAGAATGCCTTCTCGAGTACTCAATTTTCAAACTCCAAGTCATACACTCCTAAAAGCATATCCAAACACGAAAATTGTCTCAACCATTCCCATGAGAGTGTTCGGGTGTTCTACCTATGTCCATATTCATTCACACAATAGAAGCAAACTTGATAACAATGCTATTAAATGCATATTCATAGGATATTCCTCAAATCGGAAAGGGTACAAGTGTTATTCCCGTCACACGACGTGTTTACAACTCCATGGATGTCACTTTCTCTGAACAACAACCTTATTATACCAAAACTGACATTCAAGGGAGGAATTATTCACATGAATATCAGCTATGGGACATTATCTCCTCTGCAGTTACAACACCTGAAATTTCCATGTCAACTACTCCTAGTTCTCCTACTCCTCAAGTCGAAATCGTGAATGATGCGTCTACCTATGTTGCTCGAACTCGGGTGCGGGTGTCGGATACGGGTACATATCTAGGA